TGTTAAGGTCAGGTCATACATGCACAGGGAGGTCCATTCCCCACCTTGTTAAGGTCAGGTCATACATGTACAGGGAGGTCCGTCCCCCACTGTGTTAAAGTCAGGCCTCCCTTGTTGCAGGCTAGCTGACCTGCAAGCTTCTAAACAATTCTGTCTCCAGTTCCCATTTTGTCCTGCGAGTGCTTGGGTTACAGATACATGTCTCCACATGCAGCTTTTAAATGTGGTTTCTGGGGTTTAACTCGGTCAGCAGTCTCAGCAGCACGCACCATTGTTTGCTGACCCATCTTTGTCAGCCTTAGTCTTTTCTTAAATTTTTCTAAAATTTAGATTTATTTGCTTAATTTTATGCGTATGACTGTTTTGCCTGAATGTATATGTTGCACCAAGTCTGTACCTGTAATCCTAGTATTCAGGAGGCTGAGGCAGGAGGCTCATCAGTTAAAGGCTAACCTCGGCTACATAATTTGAAGCCAGCCTCGGCTATATAATTTGAAGCCAGCCAGAGCGACAGAGAGATCTTATCTTTAAAGCAGAGCAAAGAAAAATATATATATGAGGTGGGGATTTATTCTGTCTCCTGGCAGCTCAGATGTCACCTTCTCTTTCAGTTTCTCATCATCGGGGAACGTGGCCTGCATGGCCATCTGCTCACGCCAGTGCCCAGCAGCCATGGCCTTCTGCTTCCTGGAGACTCTGTGGTGGGACTTCATAGCTTCCTATGACGCCACATGCATCGGCCTGGCCTCCCGGCCCTACGCTTTTCTTGAGTTTGGTTTGTAACTGCCTTCGTCCTTTTCTTTCTCATATGATGTTATGTCTATAGAAACTGAAGTCTAGGTTTGGCCGTAACCATCCGGGAAAACCACAGGAGGTTCTACCATATGTCCTGATTTCATAGGAATTAAAGTGGTCTTACAGCTCACCACGGTGGCTTTCTATGTCTTCAGAGCCCGTGAGGAAGTGAGGAAGGTTCTCCATGGGCTTCTGTCAGAGCCTGTGGGGAGATGGGGGAAGGTTCTCCATGGGCTTCCGTTAGAGCCTGTGGGGAGGTGAGGAAGATTCTCCATGGGCTTCTGAACAAACCATAGTCTGTATAATTCAGAGCTATGCTGTATGAATCAGAGCTGTTATCTGTGGATAATAGATATCTGTAGATATCTGTCTACGGATGCTTTTCCTGAGATAGGATGTGCCTAGCATCCTGAAGTGTTTACTGTCTTACACCTGGAGACAGTTCTGTTGACACCAGTCCTGGGGCTGAGCTACCTGGGGAGTTTTCCTCCATGGTAAGTCCGGAAGTGGAAGAAATGTTTCTAACTCCTGTGATGATGTCACAATCCTGCAATATTTTTTTTCCTGCGTTTTGTCAAAGCATTTGGCTGTGGCAGTTTGCAAATGAGACAGTTTGGTCCTTCCTTCAGCAGGTTGACAAGGCCTGCTTTGGCAGAAGACGTGTTTGTTCCAGGCTCAGCCAGAGGGGCCTGTGTGGTTCCTAAGTCTACAGGACACAGCCTGATAGTCACACAGTGTTTGCCAAGAATGGTTCATTTTTGAGTTCTAGGACAGGGTTTCTCAACTTGTGGGTCATGACTCTTTTAGGGAGGTCCAGGACCCATTCACGGGGTCACCTAAACCATCTAAAAACACAGATATTTACATTATAATTCATAACAGTAGTCAAATTGCAGTTATGAAGTAGCAATGAAATAATTTTATGGTAGGGAGTCACCACAACATGAGGAACTCAGATAAAGGGTCGTAGCGTAGGAAGGGTGAGGACCACTGGTCTAGGCTGGTCTAGGAAGTCAGAGAGGGGTGTTGGATGTTCAGTCTCTGGGATGGACTTGTGCAGGGATCCAAAGTGTTTGGTATAGGCAGCCAGGCGTGAGGCCAGCACTTAGACCATCTGGCTCTGACTGCCCGAGTCCTTACTCTCCCTCAGTGGCCTCCTGCTTGGCCATTGAGTGTAGTCAGCTTTTTCTTTTGTGACCACAACTCACAAATAACGACTCAGAGACTTATTATTAATTATAAAAGCTTGGCCTTAACCTAGGCTTTTTTCTAACTAGCTCTTACAACTTTACCTGTTTTTATTTATCAACGTTCTATCACATGTCTCGGTTACCTTTCCTCTGTCCTGTCTGACTTGTTCCATAACCCATTGGTATCTTCTGCATGCCTAGTTTCATCCCCCTGACTTCCCTTCTCTCTGCTGGAAATCCCGCCTATCCTCTCCTGTCTGCCTATTGGCCACTCAGCTCTTTACTACACCAATCACAGCAGTGCATCCTCACACAGTGCACAGATATCCCACAGCAACTGAGAGTGGACGGGAGCAGCACCTTCTGGGTGTCCCGCCTTTACTGTGGCAGACTGAGGGTGCTCTGGGAGGCTCTCATGAAGTTGCCTTCATTGGCTTCTCTTCCTGTCAGGAGGGTGTGTCCGTCTCCAGGCAGACCACAGCTGTGGCTCCCTTGGCATCAGTTAATTTGGAGAGAAGTGGAGCTGCATTCTTTCCCCCTTGTCTCTGTATGTGCCTTCCTAGGAAAGCAGCAAGCTGAGTCTGACCGGAGACCTTCCCTAGCACTGTGGTCAGGCTGCTTGTTCGTTCCCGGCCGTCGGGACCTGAAATAATCACACAGAAACTGTAGTAATTAAAACAGTTTGGCCTATTAGCTCAGACTTCTTATTAACTAACTCTTACATCTTAAATGAACCCATTTCTATTATTCTGTGTATCACCATGAGGCTGTGGCTTACCAGGTTCTGGCATCTTTCTCCTTCAGCAGCTACATGGCATCTCTCTGACTCCATCTACTTTCTTCTAGCATTCAGTTTAGTTTTCCTGCCTAGGTCTATTCTGCCCCAACGTAGGCCCAAGCAGCTTCTTCTTTTCATTAACCAATAAAAGCAACACATAAACAGAAGGACTTCCCACATGATAGCACCGTCATGACTCCTTAGTGTGTGGGAGCATGAGTCAGAGAATAGTGGTGTTAGAACCACACATGTGTGTGATTGGGGCTTCTTAATGCACGTGAGGAAAACTTTAAAAACTTGTCAGTCAGGCATGGTGGTGCACACCTGTGATCCTAACAGTTGGTCCTATCAGGAGTTCAAGGCCATTCTTGGCTATTAGCAAGTTTGAGGCCAGCTTGGACTGTATGAACCCTTGGCTTAAAAAAAAAAAAAAAAAAAAAAACCAAGCAAACAGATAAAAGCCATGTCGTTTGTTGAAATGGGTTAATAGTAATATAACTAAAAGATTCAAAGCCAATATTCCTTTCCTAGTTTGTTTTCTATTGCTGTGATAAACACTGTGACCAACCCAAAGCACCCTGAGAAGAAAAGGGTTATTTGGTTTACAGTGTGTGTGTGTGTGTGTGCGTGTGTGTGTGCACATATATATGTACATATATACGTATATACGTCATGAGATGTGTGTATCTCTGTCTCTACACACACACACACACACACACACACACACACACACATCTCTCTCTCTCTCTCTCTCTCTCTCACATACACATCTCATGAAGGGAAGTCAGGGCAGGAATTCAAGGAGGGGACCTGCAGTAGGAACTGAAGCAGAGGCCATGGAGAGATGCTGCTTACAGGCTTGCGCCCCCCCCCCATGGCCAACATGTTCAGTCTGCATTTTTGTACAGCCCAGACCCACATTCCCAGGGGTCGCTCTGCCCGCAGCTGGCTCCTGCCCTCCCGCATCACAGGTTTGCCATCATAGGCCAGTGTTAATGGAGACAGTTTCTCATCTGGAAAGGTTCCTCTTCCCAGATGGCTCCAGCTTGTGCCGAATTGGCCAACACAACCCGCACACCTCCCAGCGTGGCCTCCCAGCTTGTACTGTAGAGCCGTGTTATCTTCAGAAAGCTCTTGCCCTGAGATTGTCAGGGAGTCTTATCCCCATGTCCAAGTTCAGACCGGTGTCTCTGGCCCCTCCGGGGTGCTGAGGTTGGTGGACTTTCTGCAGCCACGCTTAGTTATTATGCTTGGAAGAAATGGATCAGACCAGTGTTAGTGCGTAGCGGTCACCTGACCTCCCATAACTGACTCAGTTCGGAATCTGGCTGACTTGCCAGTTGCTTAGCAACGGGTGCTTCGCTCCCCACATGCTGTCTTGGAGCGCCCATCCTGATGATGCTCACCTTGGGCCTCTCTCTCTCTGCAGACAGTGTCATTCAGAAAACAAAGTGGCATTTTAACCACATGAGCTCCTCCCAGATGAAGAGTGGCTTCGAGAAGATTCAGGAGGAGCTTGAGCTCCAGCCTCCAGCAGTTCTGTCCCTGGAGGGCACAGATGTGGCCAATGGCGTGCTGAACGGCCACACCCCGGTGCACGCTGAGTCTGGTAAGTGCCTGCTGTTCTCTGGTGGAGACGAAAGGACACGGGTCAGGTAGAATTTCCCCCACTGGAAAAATGGTCTGGTTTGGTGGTAGCATGTTAAATATCTTTGGAAGAATATAGATGAATCCTTTTTCCACATAGTTGTTATAAAAACAAAAACAAAACCTTACTGTTGTGGTCGTGGCTTGCTTCAAGGAAGCAGTCTGATAACATTCTGGAGTTTCCAGACCGTCTTGGCAGGTTGTTCATCAAGGTGAAGTTTACAGGTTCACATGCTGTGAGAATTACAGCCCCTTGTGGAACTCTGTGACTTACCACACTACTAAAGCACTGGAAGCCTGTGCTGGGAAGCCACAACCCTCTTATTGGAGAAGGGTGTAGGGACAGAATCTATGTGCCATCTAAAAATTCTACAGTGGGGGCCAGTGGGGTGGCTCTGGGGTAAAGGATTGCCTCCACCCTGGGCACCTGAGTGTGATGTCTGAAGACCACATGGTAGGAAGAGCTCCCTTCATTGTCTTCTGACCTCTACCCTCTGACCTCTGCACTCATGCCATGGTGTGTCCCCTGGAAGAGCTGTCTACATTGTAACAATCTAAAAAATTTCCGTACTAAGTTCCTGACTTGAAATTTAAGTGACGTATTAAGTATATTTGGTTTGGGCTTAATGAATTTAAACCAATAGATTCCCAGGTTGGCTCACCTGCCAGTCAGCAAGCTGTTCCTGTTTAATATTGGGAGAATTTGAAGAAGGAGGCTGGGTAATCGAGCCCAAGCTCCCCCCTTGCCACGAGTGACCACAGGGACCCCTTTGTAATGTATGATTTTTTTTTTTTTTTTTTAAGCACTTAGAAAAGAGGAGCAAATCCCCAGAGCGCCAAGTTACCCACCTGTGTAGGACATTTTACTGCCTCACCTAAGTGTCCCAAGGCTAGAGTCCTCACAGGTAGCATGTTCTGTTCTAATGGGAACTCGGATTTCTCTGTGGGAACTAACACACTAACACTGGTCTTAGCTGGGCTGTGGCTTCCAGGGTGTGTGTTTGTGCGTTATTTGTGGTGGAACTGTCAGGACCAGAAAGGATACTTAGGAAGGAGCCTGGCAGAAGGAACTGGACCATAGAGAGAGAGCAGGTCCATGTTCCCGTTGTCATCCTGGCTACAGTGAGAGCCCAGACAGCACACTGTTCTAGACGGAACACCTCCTCTTGCTGGGTATCCTAGAATTACTGAGATGTCTGCTGTGGACTTCTCTGGATGCCCACATGACACTGAACATCGTCCTTATTGGGAACAGAGTGGAGGAAATGCTTCTCGAGTCTGGACACTCCTGCCCCAGCATCTCAGCCTGCCCTTTGGGCATGCCGTTTTGGGTGACTCTGTGTTGAGGCATCCCATGTCCTGCAGGATGCTTAGCAGTGTCGTTGGCATTGGCCTGTCCTGGTGACAATTACAGGTGTCTCTGGACACCCCTCTGGGGGCAAGCCACCCCTGCTTAAAATAAAAAGGCAACTGAGTGCTTACAGGTTTGTGTCTGACGTGAAAAAGAGCTTTTTTTTTTTTTTCCTGGAAGAAGTTCACCTCCGTTTCTGAGATCCATTCTGGCGTTCATTTCTGGCTTGCCCCACTAACTTCTGTTGCTTTTTAGATGCGCGCCTGTGGCTCTGTGCTTAGCATCCTGGGTCTGTTAGCAGAGGTCTCGTTGGTGTCCTGTCCTCTCACCGGCCTCTCCTCTCTCTCCTTTGTGAAGCCCTGAATCTCCGGATGGAGCCGGTGACAGCGCTGGGTGTCCTCTCCCTCGTGCTCAACATCATGTGCGCTGCCCTGAACCTCATCCGTGGAGTCCACCTTGCAGAGCACTCCTTACAGGTGACGGCCTCAGCATGCTGCATCCCAGCCCCGCTTCACGGTCCACAGGAAAGACAAGTGACAGAAACTGACGATGGGAGGCAGTCTGTCTGTCAGATCCCTGTGCAGTTAGGATTTTTGTTTGTTTGTGGTTGTTTTTGCTGTTTAGGTTTTTTTGAGACAGGGTTTCTCTGTGTAGCTATGGGTCTGTCCCAGTTCAGGCTGGCCTCAAACTCACAGAGATCCTCCTGCCTCTGCCTTCCCAGTGCTGGGATCAAAAGTATGTGCCGCCACCATCCGGCACAGTTAAATTTTACGAATATCAAAAATTCAAATAAAACATTTTAGAACTTTTAATCCATAATCTGGATATGGCGATGCACCCCACAGTCCCAACACTGGAGAGGTGGAGGCAGGAAGATCAGAAACCGGCACCCAGTCTTCAGCCACATGAGATAGTTCTGGCCAGCTTAGGGCTGAGTATAAAATAAAAGAATCCAAAACAAAAAACTGCTCTTTGTAGTGAGCTGACCAAATTTGAAGGACCCTTTGTGACTGACCTTGGGGGTTCTGGGATGTTGCTGTGAAGTAGACAACTTGCCCAGGGGACTTTGGGCTGCCTCCTAGTCCTTGGGAACCAAGGTTCAGTTGTCAACAAGATGCAGGGTAGAGTCTCGCACTGACAGGCTCTGGGAAGAGCTGTCCCCACCCTGTGGTATGTGGCCCTCATGGGCCTCTTCTCTTCTCTTGTCAGAGACCCACATCCCTGGGATGAAGTGAGCATTTTTTTTTGTTGGCCACTGGTGGTGAAGCAACTTTCTCTTTCAATGCTTTCTTCAAATATTTCTTTTTTTTCTTTTTTTTTTAAGTTATAAAGCTGATTGGCCCATTAGCTCAGGCTACTTATTAGTTCTTATGACTTATCTTAGCCCATTATTCTGATCTATGTTAGCCATATGGCTTGGTACCTTTTTCAGCTGTCAGTTTACATGCTGTCTCTTCAGTGGTCTGTGCAGGAGTGACAGAGGAAGCTTCCTGCTTCCCAGAATTCTCCTGTTCTCATTGCATCACCTCTACTTCCTGTCTGGTTTTCCCGCCTATACTGCCTGCCTGGCCAATCAACGTCTTATTAAAATATGATTGACAGAATACAGACAATTCTCCCGCATCATTCCCTCTTTTTTTTATTTATTTTTTTAAAATTTTTTTTTCTCAAAGTTTATTAAAATACAAAAGTCTCCATTTCCGCCCCTCCTCCCAACCCCCCACTCCCTCACCTCCTCCCCCCACTCCCTCACCTCCTCCCTCTCCATCCCCAAGAGCAGTCAGGGTCTCCCACCCTGTGGGTAGTTCAAGCTCCTCCCCACTCCCTCCCGGTTCAGGAAGGTGAGCATCCAAACAGACTGGATCCCAGAAATCCAGTATATGCAGAGGAAACAAGTCCCAGTGTAATTGCCAATGGCTTTTCAGAAAGACTCCGGGCCAGCCACATTCAGAGAATCCGGCCTCATTCAGAGAATCTGGCTGGATCACGTGCTCGCTCAGTCCCAGTCAACTGGCCTTGGTGAACTCTCATTAGATCAGTCCCCTTGTATCAGTGGGTGATCACACCCCTCGCGGTCCTGATTTCCTTTTTCATGTTCTTCCTCCTTCTGCTCCTCATTTGGACCTTGGGGGACTCCGTCCGGTGCTCCAATGTGGGTCTCCGTCTGTATCGCCATCCATCGTCGGATGAAGGTTCCCTCTGATCTTGCCTTCCTTGCTCACGTTCTCTTTCCTTCTGCTTCTTGTTTGAACCTAGGGAGTTAAGTCCAGTGTTCCGATGTGGGTCTCCATCTCCATCTCCATCCATCGCCAGGTGAAGGATCTATGGTGATAAGCAAAATATTCATCAGTATGGTTATGGGCCAAGGCCAGTTCAGGCACCCTCTCCTCTGTCCAGAGAACAATCTGGGGATCTCTCCTTGGACCTGGGATCCCATTTATAATCAAGTCTCTAGTAAACCCTAAACTGACTCCCTTAGTTGAGATATATTCTTCCCTGATCCCATATCTATCCTTCCTCCCTCCCCCCCTCCCAGTCCCCTGAGCATTCCCCATTCCTCCCCTGCTCCCTTCTCTCTAACCCTCTCCCCTTCCAACAACCCTCCTACCCCCCCATGCACCCGAGGTTACCTGGGACTCTTGTCTATTTCCAATCTCCAGGAGGAAAACTACCTGAATTTTCTTCAGGTTCACCCTCCTATCCAGCTTCTCTAGGATCATGAATAGTAGGCTCAAAGACCTTTAATTATGGCTAGAATCCATTTATGAGTGAATACATACCATATTCCTCTTTTTGGGTCTGGCTTACCTGACTCAGTAAAACGTTTTCTTTTTTTTTATTATTTTTTTTAAATTTTTTAAAATTTTTTTATTTTTTTTATTTAATTTTTACTGGGAACCTCTCCAGAATCAAGTCTCTTGCAAACCCTAAAATGGCTCCCTTAGCTGAGATGTAAACCTCCCTGCTCCCCCAACCATCCTTCCTCCCTCCCCCCTCCCATTCCCCCAAGCCTTCCCCAATCCTCCCCCTCTCCCCTCTCCCTGACCATCTTCCCTTACTTCCACCCCCCCACCCCCCATGCACCCGAGTTTGCCTGGCAATCTTGCCTAGTTCCACTATCCAGGAGGATAACTATATGATTTTCTTCAGGTTCACCTTCTTATTTAGCTTCTCTAGGATCACAAATTATAGACTCAAAGACCTTTAACTATGGCTAGAATCCACTTATGAGTGAGTACATACCATATTCCTCTTTTTGGGTCTGGGTTACCTCACTCAGTAAAGCGTTTTCTATTTCCATCCATTTGCATGCAAAATTCAAGATGTCATTGTTTTTTACCGCTGAGTAAAACTCTAATGTATATATGTTCCACACCTTCTTTAACCATTCTTCTATTGAGGGGCACCTAGGTTGTTTCCATGTTCTGACTATTACAAATAGTGCAGCTATGAACATAGTTGAACAAATACTTTTGTAGTATGATAGGGCATCTCTTGGGTATATTCCCAAGAGTCGAATTGCTGGGTCCTGAGGGAGGTTGACTCCCAGTTTCCTGAGAAACCGCCACACTGATTTCCAAAGTGGCTGCACAAGTTTACATTCCCACCAACAATGGATGAGTGTTCCCCTCACTCCACATCCTCTCCAGCATAGGCTATCGTTGGTGTTTTTGACTTTAGCTATTCTGACAGGTGTAAGATGATATCTCAAAGTTGTTTTGATTTGCATTTCCCTGATTGCTAAGGAGGTTGAGCATGACCTTAAGTGTCTTCTGGCCATTCGAAGTTCATCTGTTGTGAATTCTCTGTTAAGTTCAGTACCCCATTTTTTAATTGGGTTAATTAGAGTTTTAGTGTCTAGTTTCTTGAGTTCATTGTATATTTTGGAGATCAGACCTTTGTCTGATGAGGGGTTGGTGAAGATCTTCTCCCAGTCAGAAGGCAGCCTTTTTGTCTTACTGACAGTGTCCTTTGCTTTACAGAAGCTTCTCAGTTTCAGTAGGTCCCATTTATTCATTGTTTCTCTTATTGTCTGTGCTACTGGGGTTCTGCTTAGGAAGTGGTCTCCTGTGCCTATATCTTGTAGACTACTTCCCACTTTCTCTTCTATCTGGTTCAGTGTGTTCAGATTGATATTGAGATCTTTAATCCATTTGGACTTGAGTTTTGTGCATGATGATAGATATGGATCTACTTTCATTCTTCTACAGGTTGACATCCAGTTATGCCAGCACCATTTGTTGAAGATGCTTTCCTTCTTCCGTTGTATACCTTTAGCTCCCTTGTCGAAAATTAGGTGTTCATAGGTTTGTGGGTTAATATCCGGGTCTTCTATTCGATTCCATAGGTTGACTTCTCTGTTCTTATGCCAATACCAAGCTGTTTTCAATACTGTAACTCTGTAATAGAGTTTGAAGTCAGGGATGGTAATGCCTCCAGAAGTTCCTTTATTGTATAAGATTGTTTTGGCTCTCCTGGGTTTTTTCTTTTGCCATATAAACTTGATTATTGTTTTCTCAAGGTCTGTGAAGAAGTTTGATGGGATTTTGATGGGGATTGCATTGAATCTATAGATTGCCTTTGGTAGAATTGCCATTTTTACTATGTTGATTCTCCCAATCCAAGAGCAGGGGAGGTCTTTCCATTTTCTGGTATCCTCCTCAATTTCTTTCTTCAAGGACTTAAAGTTCTTGTCAAATAGGTCTTTCACTTCCTTGGTTAGAGTAACCCCAAGATATTTTATGCTATTTGTGGCTATCGTGAAAGGTGATGTTTCTCTGATTTCTCTCTCTGCTTCTTTATCCTTTGTGTATAGGAGGGCAACTGATTTTTTGGAGTTGATCTTGTATCCTGCCACATTACTAAAGGTGTTTATCAGCTGTAGGAGTTCTTTGGTAGAGTTTTTGGGGTCGCTTATGTACACTATCATATAGTCAGCAAATAATGAAAGTTTAATTTCATCCTTTCCAATTCGAATCCCCTTGATCTCCTTATGTTGTCTTATTGCTATTGCTAGAACTTCAAGCACTATATTGAAGAGGTATGGAGAGAGTGGCCAGCCTTGTCGTGTTCCTGATTTTAGTGGAAAGGCTTTGAGTTTCTCTCCATTCAATTTGATGTTAGCTGTCGGCTTGCTGTATATTGCTTTTATTATATTTAGGTATGATCCTTGTATCCCCAGTCTCTCCAACACCTTTATCATAAATGGGTGTTGAATTTTGTCAAATGCTTTTTCAGCATCCAATGAAATGATCATATGGTTTTTTTCTTTCAGTTTATTTATATGATGGAGTACATTGATAGATTTGCATATGTTGAACCAGCCCTGCATCTCTGGGATGAAGCCTACTTGATCATAATGGATAATTTTTCTAATGTGTTCTTGGATTCGGTTTGCCAGTACTTTATTGAGAATTTTCACGTCGATGTTCATGAGTGAGATTGGCCTGTAATTCTCTTTCTTGGTTGTGTCTTTGTGTGGTTTTGGTATCAGGGTAACTGTAGCTTCATAAAAGGAGTTTGGCAATGACTCTTCTGTTTCTATATTGTGGAATACATTAAGGAGTATAGGTATTAGCTCTTCCTGAAAGTTCTGGTAGAATTCTGCATTGAAACCATCTGGTCCTGGGCTTTTTTTGGTAGGGAGATTTTTGATAACAGCTTCTAATTCTTCACGACTAACAGGTCTATTTAGATTGTTCACCTGTTCTTGGTTCAACTTTGGTATATGGTACTTACCTAAAAAAATGTCCATTTGTTTTACATTTTCCAACTTTGTGGCATATAAGCTTTCATAGTAAGATCTGATGATTCTCTGAATTTCCTCTGTGTCTGTGGTTATGTCCCCCTTTTCATTTCTGATCTTATTAATTTGCATGTTCTCTCTCTGCCGTTTGATTAGTTTGGATAGGGGTTTGTCGATCTTGTTGATTTTCTCCAAGAACCAGCTTTTTGTTTCATTGATTCTTTGGATTGTTTTCTGTGTTTCTATTTTGTTGATTTCAGCCCTCAGTTTGATTATTTCCAGTCTTCTACTCCTCCTGGTTGAATCAGCTTCTTTTTTTTCTAGTGCTTTCAAGTGTGCTGTTAAGTCTCCAATGTGTGCTTTCTCCGTTTTCTTTAATTGGGCACTTAGTGCTATGAACTTTCCTCTTAGCACTGCTTTCATAGTGTCCCATAGGTTTGAGTATGTTGTGTCTTTATTTTCATTAAATTCAAGGAAGACTTTAATTTCTTTCTTTATTTCTTCCTTGACCTAGGGGTGATTTAATAGTTGACAGTTCAACTTCCATGAGTTTGTTGGCTTCCTGGGTGTAGCATTGTTGTTGAATTCTAACTTTAATCCATGGTGATCTGACAAGACACAGGTGGTTACTAATATTTTTTTGTATCTGTGGAAGTTTGCTTTGTTACCAAGTATGTGGTCAATTTTTGAGAAGGTTCCATGGGCAGCTGAGAAGAAGGTATATTCTTTCCTATTTGGGTGGAATGTTCTATAGATATCTGTTAAGTCCATTTGATTCAATACCTCCAATAATTCTCTTATTTCTCTGTTGGGTTTCTGTCTGATTGATCTGTTCATTGGTGAGAGAGGTGTGTTGAAGTCTCCTACTATTAGTGCGTGTGGTTTGATGACTGCCTTGAGTTCTAGAAGTGTTTCTTTTACATAAGTGGGTACCTTTATATTAGGGGCATAGATATTCAGGATTGAGACTTCCTCCTGATGAATTGTTCCTGTTATGAGTATGAAATGTCCATCTCTATCTCTTCTAATAGATTTTAGTTTGAAGTCAATTTTGTTAGATATTAGAATGGCCACACCTGCTTGTTTCTTAGGTCCGTTTGGTTGGAAAACCTTTTCCCAGCCCTTTACTCTGAGTAGATGTCTGTCTTTGTGGTTGAGGTGTGTTTCTTGTAAACAGCAGAATGTTGGATCCTGTTTTCGTATCCAATCTCTAAGTCTGTGCCTTTTTATAGGTGAATTGAATCCATTGATATTAAGTGATATTAATGACCAGTGGTTGTTGACTCCGGTTATTTTTATTTTTATTTTTTTTTTGGGGGTAGTGGAGTGTATGTTTTTCCCTTCTTTGAGTTCTGCTTGTGAAGGTTCGCTAGATGCCTGAGTTATTGTAGGCGGTGTTAGGAATGTTGGATTCCTTGGGTTGTGATTTGCTTTCTAATCCTTTTTGTAAGGCTGGATTTGTAGCAATGTATTGTTTAAGTTTGTTTTTATCCTGGAATATTTTGTTTTCTCCGTTGATAGTGAATGATAGCTTGGCTAGGTATAGTAGTCTGGGTTTGCATCCATGGTCTCTTAGTTTCTGCAGTACCTCTATCCAGGACCTTCTGGCTTTCATGGTTTCCATAGAGAAGTCTGGTATAAGTCTGATAGGTTTACCTTTATAAGTTACTTGATCTTTTTCCTTTGCAGCTCTTAATATTCTCTCTTTAATCTGAATGTTTTGTGTTTTGATTATTATATGGCGACGGGATGTTTTTGTTTTTTTTTTTGATCCAGCCTATTCGGTGTTCTGTATGCTTCTTGAACCTTCATAGGGATATCGTTCTTGAGGTTGGGGAAGTTTTCTTCTATAATTTTGTTGAATATATTTTCTGGACCTTTGATCTGCAATTCTTCTCCTTCTTCTACCCCTATTATTCTTAGATTTGGTTTTTTTATTGTGTCCCACATTTCCTGAATGTTTCGTGATGAGAATTTGTTGGATTTGCTGTTTTCTTTGGTCAGAACGTTTAATTTCTCTATGGTGTCCTCAGAGTCTGAGATTCTTTCTTCTATCTCTTGTATTCTGTTGGTTATGCTTGTTTCTGAAGTCTCTGTTCGTTTACCTAGATTTTCCATAGCCAGCCTGCCCTCGGCTTGTGATTTCTTCATTGACTCCATTTCAGTTTTCAAATCTTGAACTCTTTTCATTACCTGTTTGATTGTTTTTTCTTGATTTCCCAGAATTTCATTTACGGATTTACTCATTTCTTCAAACCTTTTGGTATATTTCTCTTCCATTTCTTTACTCATTTCCTCAATCTTTTTGTTATACTTATCTTCCATTTCTTTACAGCAGATTTTCACCTCCTGTTTAAGTTCCTCTATTATTTTCATAAAGATCCACTTAGAGTCGATTTCTTCTATTTCTTCTGGAGTAGGGTGTTCAATTCTTCTAGTTTCGTGATCCCTGGATTCTGGAGATGTCATGTTGCCTTTCAGGTTGTTGGAGGAATTCTTTTTTTTTTTTTTCCAATACATACTTTTATTATTTTTTTTTGAAAGTAATTTTATTAAATTATAAAGAGTTTCCATTTGAATTTTGCATGCAAATGGACGGACATAGAAAACGCTTTACTGAGTGAGGTAAGCCAGACCCAAAAAGAGGAATATGGTATGTATTCACTCATAAGTGGATTCTAACCATAGTTAAAGGTCTTTGAGCCTATTATTCGTGATCCTAGAGAAGCTAAATAAGAAGACGAACCTGATGTTGGAGGAATTCTTGCATTGGCGCCTGCCCATCTCCTCCTCTCTGGATGAAACTCCTCAGCACTTTCTGGCTAGAACTCCTCAGCACTCTCTGGATAGAACTCCTCAGCACTGCAGCAGGGATAGCTGGTATTTCCAGGACCCAGGAGACAAAAGGGCGGCAGCAGTGGGGGCAGGGAAGGGTCCCGTGGAACACTGAAGACCCTGCTGCAGAAGCTGAGGGGAGAGGGGCTGTGCTCTCCTCTGGGGCAGAGAGCCCAGGCGAGCACCCACTCACCTCTCTGGATAGAACTTCTCAGCCTCTTCAAATATTTCTTAAAAAATATTTTTGGAAGTTTTCGAATGCTTGTCAAAGGACTAGAACTATTATTAGCATAAGCAGGTATCTGCTATTTTTAAAGATAGAGCCATAGTGTTTTTATAGATTTTTGTCTGATATTTCTTTGTTTGGGCTTTTTTTTTTCTTACTGGCCTTTTGATTGTATGTTATGGTTTCTGATTTTGTGTTTTTATGGATTTGTGTGTGTGTGTGTGTTTACTGCATTTTTCATTTTCTTTTCTTTTTTTTCTTTTATTATTTTTACTATTATTTTTGCCTTTTTTTTTAAGAGAGAAAGAAAGCATGGAGTTGGTTGGATGGAGGTGGGGTGGGGAGGGTCTGAGAGGGGGTAGGGAGAGGAAACCGTGATCAGAATATATCATATGAATTTTCAATTAAAAAAAACAAAACAAAACAAAAGATAAAGCCATAGTGCTCATGGTAGTGTTAGGTGTTGACTGTAAGGGATGGTGGTTCGTGGGTATTGAGCCCAGAAGGCTGGTGTGGACTGGGCCCTTTGAAGAGCAGCATTGGGCCTGTGTTAGAGTCCGAGCTGTGTAAACCCTCAGGCCGGTTAGTTGCCAGCTGTGTGTAGTAGAACTGGTGCCTGGTGGGTTGCCTTGAGGGTCTCTTGGCATCGTGCAGGGACAGCATCGAGGCGGCAGTGCCTGGGGCAGGAGGTCCTAGAAGCAGCTCAGCATTAACAGATGAGAAGGGTTGGGAGAGCTGAGGGGGTGGGAGCTCGTTGCATGTTGAGGATGTAGCATGATGCCCGAGACAGGAGTGTGTGTGGTCGGTCACGTGCCAGGCCTGAGTCTGGCTAGGCATCTTTGCACTCAGTCACACCAGGAAAATGGGAATAACGAGCCTCGTGCCATGGTGGTTCCTTTCAGCCAAACCTTTCTTCTGTGTGCCCCGGATCTGTTTCAGATCGCCCAGGAGGAAGTTGGAAACATCCTGGCCTTCTTCATCCCTTCTGTGGCCTGCATCGTCCAGGTGGGTGCAGTCCCTGACTGGGTGCTTTTGGAGACTGCAGGCAGCTGCCTGAGGGAACGGTGACACCTAGTGTGGCTGTGACTCAGGAGGAACCACAGTGTGAACGCGTGGCTTTTCCTCATAGCTTATTCAGCTCTCAGGCCCCTGAGGGGGACTTCATAGGGAGGCCACGCAGTCTTGGGGGGGGCGCTTGTGGTCTGGTCTGCCCCCCTGTGCTGTATCTCTCTCTTCCTGCATCCCCAGGCTGGACATGTGCCTGTGTGTCGCTAGCATCCTTCCTCCTGGGACACCTGTTTCATTGTTTTTGAATCTCCTCCTGTTCACTTGGTGGTTAGCAGCCATGGGTCCCAGCTTTGCTCTAGTGAATTCAGTGAATAGGCGCATGCATGCAGGCATCAGTGACTAGGTGCATGCAGGTGCCAGTGACTAGGCGCCTGCATGTGGGCATGAGCACATAGGTGCCTGCAAGCGGGAGTCAGCAGATAAGTGCCTGTATGTAGGCGTCAGCGGATAGGCGCATGTATGTAGGCATCAGCGGATAGGCGCATGCATGCAGGCATCAGCAAATAGGCACATGCAGGTGTCAGTGAATAGGCACATGCATGCAGGCGTCAGCGAATAGGAACATGCATGCAGCTGTTTGTGTCTGCATCTGACTTGAGACTGTCTGCTTCTCTCTGACTGGTTATATTGTGGTCTCATTTCAGTGTTACCTGTACCTGTTCTATAGTTCAGCCAGGACTCTGAAGGTGGTGCTGATGCTGGCCTTCATCTGTCTGGGCAACGTGTACCTGCACGGGCTGAGGAACACCTGGCAAATCCTTTTCCACATAGGAGTGGCTCTCCTGTCTTCGTATCAGACCCTAACCAGACAGCTGCAGGAGAGGCAGTCTGACTGCGGAGTGTGAGGACAGCATCATGCAGTGAATGGAGCCTTTGACTTCCCCTCTCCGGCCCTGGAAGGCCAGTCTGTTTCTGCTCCTGCTTCTTAACTCCACCTCAGATCTCCATCCATGAAGCTCCCGAGATCACAGATTCTGGCAGGTGTCATGGAGGACACAGGGTGGCTGGTTGCATCTCGGTCTGTGTGGAGCGTTTGTGGATAACAGCCAGCCAAGCACAGGACAGGCAGCTGAAGCCAGAGTTTGCTGGGAGAGCATCTCTGGTGATCAGAGTGACCATGTGTTGGTCTCCTACCTAGAGCGATGCTGCACACCACTAGGTTCCATGATGGTAGCTTTGTCATTGGCCTGCCAGGAAATGGTCTGCAAGGAGACTCTTTAAAGTTAAACCAGTTTGCAGTCCCAGTGTAACCTCGGTCAGTTTTCCCTAGAGTGTCAGTTCAGGGTAAATTAAAAGCTTGAAAATATGGCTCATAAAGGTAAGCTAGGTAAATTTTGTTTACATTTTTGATAACTTGGGTTCGATATACTTTTGGAATATTTAAATATATTTTGGATATAAATTGAAGCTCATTTAGAATGAAGGCAAACTTAGGCTGGGGAAATGCTAAGTAAATCTGAGTTTATTTAATTTACAGAGACGGTTTATGGTGGCGGGACTGTGTGGATACGGATGTTGTCTGTATCTCTTCACAGGGTCTATCTGAAGATCGTTAAACTAATAACCAATATTACTGGGTCATGAGCACATGGACGAGAGCAGATGTGAGCGTCCCAGGGTTTTTTTCATGGGGCAGAGTGGAGTGGAAATGCTGGGGTTCAGTGTGCTTGGCAGAATTGGGGAGAGAGGCTTCTGTCATCAGCCTTTGGGTGGCAGCCCAGTGCCCGTCAAGGTAACATTGCTGGAGGCGTGGTCTTGCGTGCCTCCTGGAGGCGTGGTCTTGCGTGCCTCCTGGAGAGGCCGAGCCTGAGCATCTCGGTTAGACCGAGGGCCTCGTTGTTTTATGGGCAGACGTTGAGTGGGTGTTAGCTTCGTGTGACTGACGCCCGTGGTGCAAAGCTGATAAGGTGTGCTTCTGAATAAGAGCCCCCTGCATCTCCAGTGTGGGTATCTGATGGCACTCAAACTCAAGAAACCATGTTGGGTTTCACCCCTCTGGCTCGTCTTGGAGTAGTGCCCCCACAACTGTGTGGGTTGAACCATAGGGCTTCGTAAGTGATCAATCCCATTATGATCGTTTCTAAAGGAGAAAGCCATCCCCAAAGTTCCTGAGTAGCGGGGAAGACAAGTGTGTGGGATAAACAGTTCTCTTGCTCAGCTGTCACTGGTACCGCATGTTGGCAAGCCACCGGGGTCTTGAGCGTCTGTGACCCAGAACTGAGTTGGGAAAGCATTGCTGTCTGATTTTGTTTCCTTAGAGGAGAATTTTCTATTTTTAATCAAATCTACAATGTCTGGGTATGAATGTCATATTGGCAACATCCTTGGACGTGAACGTGAACCTTGTGTCTTTGTTGATCTCACACTGTGTAATTCTGTATATACTGCGCAGGCAAATGCCATTCTTCCCGAGAGAGAATTTTAAAGTGGCCATAGAAAAGCCAGAGGGAAGAGAAAATTCTTTTCCTTCAAAGCATACACTCAAAACATTTTTTAAGTAAGTTTAAAAAAATCAGCCTAAAAATACACTGTTTTCCTTGTAAGCCTCTGTGGTATTGTGTTGCCCCTGTCTGGAGACCCCACACACTCTAGGGGTCAAGCCTGTGGTCGTCAGTCTACGAGCCATGACTTTTGGTGAGTGGTCCCTGAGGGTGAGCCCTTGCTAGAGACACTTCATACCCCATAGATGCTAGCGAGGGTGTTGTCCACAGTTGGTTGACATGGCTTATGAGTAATCATCTAGACAGGGTTCCAGACTGTCATAAATGGAAGGAAAAGATGCTACAAGGGAAACAGAAAACAGAGAAACATTTAACTAGAATCCAGCCAAGCAGGCTCACCTCTCTGGAAGAGGGTGCTGACGGGAAATAAGTTCCCAGGAAACCCCAGGTTTGGGGTAACTTGGTTCAGGCCTGGATGTTGGTATCCCTTGTGGGATCTTTGATGCCCGGAACCTGATTCCAAGGCAGGAGTGCTCCTCTGTCTGCCACGCACTTGCTGCTCCTGTGCATCTTTGGATGAATAGCTAGGTGCTGTTGCCTAGCTGGCTCACATAACATGGTGTTGAGATGGCCTCCAGGTGCTTTCCTGTCCAGACGCTCACAGACTGCGGACGGACTTCTGCAAATGCTGTGTTGTCTGCGGGTACTGGGTGGGGCCTGGCACTCGGGCAGAAAGCATATGATTCAGGTGACTTGCTCAGTGAGCCTTCTTTTGATGGGAACTGTACCTGACTTCCCTTTTTCTGGGTAGGAAGAGCTGGACCATCTCAGTCCCGGACACCTCATTGACCCCATGGCTGTGGTTCTTGCTGACCGTGAGCCCTGTTGACATGCATTGTGGGCTTTTTCCTTGAGCCCCTTTCTTCCCTAGCCACCATGTGTCCCCTTTCCCCTGCCTGTTTTCACTCTGCCTCCTACATTTCTGACTCCAGAGAGAGATGCAGGTTAGAGTCCGGAGAGACAGGAACCATGATGGAGAGGGAACCGACTTTGAAGCCTGACCCTCTGCCCCACCTCAGCTCAGCACCCGGGAGAACGAGCACCTTGATTGTCTTCTCCTGTTATCTCCGCTGGGGGCTAGAGCAGTAGCCGGCAGACCCAGTGAGGTGACTGGAGCCTAGGAAATGGCATCAGGGCGGAACTTGTGTTCACACCTGTACTGAGTTGCTCCTTGAAGGAACTGCCTGCCCACTGTGACACCAACACAGCCACCATCCAGTCTCTTCTATATACTTGACAATGAGTAACATATGAAAGAGGCTGAACATGTCCAGGAGTACGCACATGAGAGAAGCAGGGCTTGTCCAGGCATGTGCACATGAGAGAGGCAGGGCATGTCGAGGCATGTGCACATGAGAGAGGCAGGACATGTCCAGGTGTGTACACGTGAGAGACACGGCATGGTCAGGAGTGCACACTGCTGTTAGCCGTATCCAGCAAACCCTTGCTGAGCTACTGCTCATGCCTAGATGTCCTTCTCGGGTCTGGGGTCATGGTCATCCTACCTGTGTGCTGTGAGAGCCAAGAATGGCTGTGGGAGAGAAACCGGGTGTGCCCTTGAGAGACGAGGTAGGGTCAGCCAACCCAGTGACCTGGAGGTCAGCTTTGCTCTTTGACTCAGTCTGTGTCACAGTGGAAGTCCCTGCCTGCCATCCTCAGCGTCTTCCCCGCAAGAGGACAGGAACACCAGCTTGCAGTCCCTGTACGCTCCTGTGAGGATTGCAGGTGGCCACAGGGGACTGTCGTACACAAGGTCGCTGGGAGTGTGCAGCAGGCCGCAGACCTCACCTGTGCTCTAGCATTCACAAGGTGGCATTTGATCCTGCTACCATCTAACTGGCTCCTCTCTTCCCCTGGACCTGCCTCTTGGTCCGGGGCATGGTCAGCCACTATTGCCAGACCTGCTCTAGGATCCCAGGAATCTAGTAGTAGATTGGGTCAAACTTCAATATCCATCCCCAGTCTCAACAAGGAGAGCCCCCATCCTCTCATGTTGCTGGGGAGACATCAGCAGGACAGCTGTGGAGGGGCAGGTAATAGTGGGCTAGGGAGATGCCCACCATGGGACAAGGTGGGCAGGGCTGTGGCCCACAATTGCCTTAAATACACCCCATTCTCTTTCCCTTTGACCCATGTCTGCTGCAGTATGTGTGACCTTTAACCCTTATATTGATAGGATTCTTAGATTGCTTCAGAAATGTTACCCAATGAAAACTTTGTACGACTCAGCCCCTAGGATTTGGTTTGGCTTAGTGGGTTTTTCTAAGAACATAAAAGAATTTGCTAATGTAGGCCAGACCATTTATTCTGCACACTCACCCCCAGGGTCTGCTGCCCATATTGTTAGCTACTTCTCAGTTGATAACAAAGATCTATTTTGAGTACCCGATGGGCACATTTTAACTTTCACATACTCGTCAACTGAAACACGTGATGACATACTGATCTTGTACATCTGTTTGTATACTGTGTAAAGTGACATGAAGTGGCTTCAGAAGTGTGTGGAGAATAAACTGAAGTGTTTACTAATGCACGTGTGTCTATGTGTGTGAGCAGTTCTGCATCAGGGCCTATTGTTGGTCTGAGGTGGTCTGCGGGAGAAGTGACATCTGGTCTGAACAGGTCTGAGGATGCAGGCTTTAGTGTAGGTCCCTAACCAAAGCAGCAGGGGTGAAATGCTCTGTGGGCTGGGCAGCCTGCAGGCTCTGTAGCTGCCACCTTGCTGTGTGCCTCAGAGTTCTGGGCTTTTGTGGACAAGGTGAGTGGCCACCAGGGGGTGTAGCAGTCGGCCACATCACCTCGTCCCAGCCCGGGGACTCTATCCTTAGCTGCTTGGAACGCTAAGCTTAGCTGACAAAATTCCCAGGAAGGGGTTTGATGCAACCACTTTGGATCAACCTCCTAAGCTGTGAGCATGTGTTCCCAGCATGTTTCCTTGTCTGTCCTGAGCCTCAGCTGTAGGAAGAGGCCAAAGCCACTTTCCAAGATACTCATTTGAGTTGTTGGGATTTGAAGGTAGACAAGTCCTTTTGCTCAGGTGTGAAAGCTGTGGCCTGGCCTAGAGAGCCAGTCAAAGAACTGTCTCCTGGCCCGGAAGGGAGGGCCGTCCCCTTCTGGTAGCACTCACAGATAATAAATAGCAGTCTGGGCCATGAAGATGCTTCTTCTGCACCAGGAGGACTGGGGGAGAGTTTGGGCTGATGAGTCTCTGCTTTTTCCTTGAGTCTTTCCCATGCAGGGGCCTTGATGACAGCTGCCAGGCATGCTTGCAGAGCACCGGGCCAGGCATGCTTGATTGCAGAGCACCGGGCCAGGCAT